TTGCAAACATATCTTTTATATAAAATACTTTTTTCCATTTGCGTATTGAGTATAATAAAATATAGTTTTTATTAATTTTTAATTTATACATATCATATTATCAGAAGCGTAAATGAATCGATCTTGAACAAACAAAATTATATTTATGTTCGCTTGTTTACTTTTTAGGGTGTTCATGTTCACTCGGTTAGCGTATACGAACATGTTCGTTTAACTTTCATGAACCATCAATCTCTTTTTACCTTTTTATTTGTAAGTCAAAGAAAAACGGTGAAATTTCACTATTAGTTTTTATGCAGTAGGTCTCGAGTTCGAGTCCTTGAATATATAGAAAATTCATACTAAAAGATTCACCTACTAAAATCAAGTGTGCGATACAGGTCGGTTTGAATTAGTCAGGACAAAACCTTTACGAACAGAGAGGAAAACAAAAAAAAATTCTAAAAACCATTAACTAGGGATGGCATGGGTCGGATATTTGGTCCACCCGACCTGACCGAGAACAAGGAATCGTCCACCCGAGATCCGACCCGACCAAATCAAGTTTTCACCGACCCAATTCCGACCCAATATATAACTTAAAAACCCGACCCGAAATAATAAAAAAAAAATATGTTATTCAATAAAAACAGTGACTTAATTGAAAAAATATATATAAAGGAGTATTATTGTAATTATTTCTAAATATATAAGGTAAAATTATATATATTTTTCGGGTCGGATCGAATATTTTTTACCTTAAACTCGACCCGACTCGAACCTATTTTTTTTTAAAGGAATAAAAAATTTGATCCGATCAGGTCGGTTCAGGTCCCATGGCCATCCCTACCCTTAACGTAGGAAAAAAACGATAACCCGAAATTTAATATACTTAATTTCTGTAAAAAGAAAAAAAATGAACGGTAGCCCGAAATTTAATCCACTCAATAATATCTTATAAATGATGGATCTCATAATGCTCGAATCATCAATCATTTGTATCCCTTACGCAGTGATTCTCTATTGTTAATACAAAGAAGCCTTAGAGAAAAACTGCGTTTCTCCGTCGCCAATTCACTAGCTGAAAAATGGCCCGCCAAATCGCTGTTTTTGCTCTGGTCTTGATCGCCCTCGTCGGCTCGGTTTCCGCCGCAGGCACTAAGGCCTCCACCTCACCTGCCCCCGCACCCGGCGGCGCTAGCGGCCTTGCAGGCTCACATGGTTCCTCTTTAAGCGGCGCTGGTTCTCCTTCTGAAGCTTCGGCCCCTAGTCCCGGCGGTGGTGCCGCACTTGAGGTCTCGGCTATTGCAGGAGTTGGAGCGGCGGCCGTTGCTGGCTATTTTATATTTTAATTGCGTCTAAGAATGCCGCAGGGTTGCCTTTTATAAATTATGTTGAGATTTGTATAAAGTACTTACTACTAATGAATAAATGAAATGGATTGGTGCATATTGAATACAATGTTTATTCGTTAAGATTATTTTTCTTTTGGGTAAATTACGTGTTTAGTACTTAAATTATCAAGTTTGATCTGTTTTAGTACTTAAATTATCAAGTTTGATCTGTTTTAGTACTTAAATTATCAAGTTTGATCTATTTTAGTACTTAAGCTTTTAATTTTTTCAAAATCATATGTAATATTTAGTTTTGTTTCATTTTAGTACCCACATTTAAAATTTAACGTGTTTAGTATTTAAACTATCATTTTTGGTTCGTTTTAGTACCTAAACTTTCAACTTTTTTCAAAATTTAACGTTAAATTTTTAACGAATGTACTAAAATAAAACAAAAACTAAACATTAGGTATGATTTTGAAAAAAAAAAGTTCAGGTATTAAAACGAACCAAAACTGATAGTTTAGATACTAAATGTACAATTTATCCTTTTATTTTTTTCCAACTACCGATATATTAACTGATTAATTCATAAAGATATTATAAAAATGTATTATAAGAACAATCATCTTAATCCAATATTGATATCATACTATCATTAATATTGAGTCATTTTGTATTATATCGATCAGATTCTTATTTAGTTGTGTTAAGTTTTTATAATCTCAACCCAGTAGTTGTATCACATTATTGTTAACATTCTGTCATTTTATATCATATCGATCAGATCTTTATTTAATTTGTTTATATGATTTAGACGTTAATTTTATAAGAATTCGAATTCAAATTTTATCATTTTTATTTTAGATTTAAATCTCGTTGTGTGTGATTTTCTATTCTATTGTACTTTATATCAATTTAATTTATAATTATTCAAACATATTATACATATTGATTTGAATATTGATATTAATTTTTGTCACTCTTGTTATAGACTTGTTAGTCACATTTATGAGTGTACCAAACACTAATGTTACATAAAAAATCAATCTTTAGCACGAACTAACTTATCTCAGTGGTTAAAGAAATTGTTGTTGTTCTTAGAGATCACGGGTTCGAGCACCAACAACTACAGCAGGGTGATTGTTGTCAATGTTGAAGCTCTACACAATGATTTCCTTAGTGCTCAGGGACAACAACTCCCCAACAGGCACTGTGTCAACGATCCCAATCGGTGGAGACCGCCAGGTAGACAGTTTGTTAAATTAATGTCGATGGTGCTTACAACCCAACGTTTCGAATGACAGTAGTAGGTGTTGTTGCTCGTGATGCTTCTGGATCGGTCCTTGGTGGTTTAACTACCTCTTCGGGTGGTATTTATGAACTGGTTTTGACTGAGTTACATAGTCTTGCTACGACTGTTAATCTTGCAGTTGAGGGGGAATGGCGAAATATTGTTTTAACTACCTAGGGGTGTAAACGAGCCAAGTCGAGCTCGAGTATTGCTGAGCTCGACTCGACTCGAAAACTCGCGAGCTTAAAATTTTCAAACTCGACTCGAACTCGAAATCTTGAACTGAAGCTCGTGAGCAGCTCGAAAAGACTCGAAATGAAGAAAAAAATTCTTAAACTTAACTCGATTAAAGCCTCAAACTCGAACTCGAACTCGAACATGAACCTTAAATACATGAAATCTTACTGTATTTAAAAAAATCAATACATAAATATTAATATTATTATTAATTTATTTTTTTAAATAAAATCTTAATATATTATATTTTCGAGCTGCTCACGAGCTTTTCGAGTCGAATATCGAGTAGCTCGTTTCAGCTCGTTAAGAACTCGAGTCGAGTCCATTCGATCCTAGTATTTATCGAGCCTTGATCGAGTCGATCTCGAATAACTCGCGATATGTCTCGTCTCATTTTCAACCCTATCTACGACTGTTACAAAGTGTAATTAGTGCCTCCACGCAAGTATTTTCTTCTCTTTTAAAATAGATCTAAGCAAAAGGGAGTTACAATATATATTAAACAATTAATATTATGGCATATGTTTGATAATTTAAACATAAAATGATTAGTTTTTGTTATATATATATCGGTTAGGATCCACCTACACTATTAAAACTAATAGCTTTACTTCATTTTATAGCCATTAGATTTAAATAAATAAATAGCTTAGATTTAATTAAAATTTATAAACTGTAAATAAATATTTCTTTAACTCAAATGAAAATACTATTTCTTTCTTTTTAAGGTTAGGGTTTATGATTTGTGGTTTAGATTTTAGGGTTTGTGGTTTAGGGTTCAAAGTTTGAGATTTAGGATAGGAGTTTTAGGATTTAAGACTTTAGGATTTAGGGTTTAGGTAAAAATAAATATTAATTTACTATGGGTTAAAAGATATTTATGTGTTATAAATTTTAATTAAATTTAAGCTATTTATTTATTTAAATCTAATGACTATACGTTAGTGTAAAAATTATTAGTTTTATATAATGTAAATGAATTCCGATTTAATTATTTATAAATAAAATTTCAGTTATAATTATACATCAATAATAGATAAAGATGTTTATAGATTTGATTCCAGCGATGGACGAAAATGTTCCTAATAAATTGATCTTGACCGAGAAAAACCAGAAGTTTAATACAACCCTTGATAAATATATATGGATAAAATACTGAAACAACCATTGAATTAGCTACTTTTGTTAAATAAGTCCCTATGATTTATTATGCTCAAACAAACACAACACTATTGTTTAATTTGTATTTAATTTAGCCCTAACTTCGATTGAAATGTTTATTAACGTTAATGGTCTTATTTCTGTTGTTCTCAAACGAACCCAAATCATTTGAATTGTAATTAGTTTAGACCTTATTTCAAATGAAATATTGATATATATATATATATATATATATATATATATATATATATATATATATATATATATATATATATATTGAGGATTTAATTAGATATAAATTAAAGGAAAAATTAACTAAAAAATCCGAAATTTAATCTATTTCATTCATGTAATTTCTTTTAGGGTAAAGAACATAAATAGTCCCCCGACTATATGATATTGCTTTGTTAAGTCCATTGACTATTAAAAGTTACAAAATGATCATTCGACTATGGAGTGTTGCTTTGTTGAGTCCCTCGGATATTAAAAGTTACAAAATGGTCACCTGACTATTTATCATGTTCCAAACTCGTCATTTTCCATTAAAAAGTCAGTGGTTGTCTAAGTTGGAAGTTAACACTACGACTGGGATGTTATAGCCGTTTGAGACTATGTGATCAAATTTTATCATATTACAACAAGTTAACGTTTAGGTCATCATACCATCAATTTTTTAACGGAAAAATACGAGTTTAGAACATAGTGAATAGTCTGGTGATAATTTTGTAACTTTTGATAGCCGAGGGACTCAACAAAGCAACACTGTTCAGTCAGAGGATTATTTTGTAACTTTTAATAGTCAAATGACTTAATAAAATAATATTCTATAATCGGGGGACCATTTGTGTACCCTAATTTATTTTAAGTCGTGTTATTTAACTACTACCAATTAACAAGCATTCCTTGAATTGTGCAACTAAAAGTCCTCAATTTAGAATTTAAATGTCTATATAAATTGCTCGCATTACCCTTTTTCAATGTGCAGTGATTCTCTATCGTTAATAGAACAAATTACCTTAGAGAAAAACTGCATTTCTCCATTTTCATTCTATCTTTTACTTCTCCTTGATCAGCACCCTAACCAAAAATGGCACACCAAAACGTTGTTCTTGCTTTGGTCTTGATTGCCCTCGTCGGCATGGTTTCTGCCGCCGGCTCTAAGGCCAGCAGTTCACCGGCCTCCGCACCCGGCGGTGCTGATGGCGGTTTAGGGGGTGCACCTGGATCTCCCGCAGGTGCACTTGGAGCTGCTGCAGGTGGTAGTTCTCCACCTTCTATGGCTTCTGCACCTAGTCCCAGCAAAGGTGCTACGCTCGAGGTCTCGACCGTCGCCGGCGTCGGAGCAGCCGCCGTTGCTTTCTACTTCATGTTCTAAACATGTTTTCGCCAAAGGCTGCAGCGAGTTTTATAGTTATCGTACGAGGAAAAGGCTGCCTTTATTAATTATTCTATGATTTGCCTAATTTTAATTTATGAATAAAGGAATGAAATGGAGAGACTCATTTTAAAAGGTTATCGCCTTTTTATTTTATTCTACTTTTTAATAATTTGTTCTTCTCGTATTGTCATGCAAATTTATACCCAGAGACTAGGGGTGATTATTGTGCGATTCGATCGCGAATTGGACAGTGCTGAACTCGTATTCGTTAAAAAATTTTGTTGCTCAACTCGACTCGTTGCTTGTTAATCTCGTTAAATTTTTGCTCGTCTCGTGCTCGTTAAAAAAACTTGTTGCTCGTTAAACTCACCGAAAATTTTACCTTATTTTCTTAGTTATAGGTAAAATCTACTAATATTATACATAGCTTAATATAAACATAAATTAATAAATTTAACCAAAAATATTATCAAAAGAGTGTATTAAATAATTTCAAAGTCTAAACTCCAAAGTAACAATCCACAAATATATTAAAATAATACTAATTAATAATTTAGTTTTTTTATTGTTTATTAGAAAATTAATAGACTTGTAATTTATATATTTTCTATTATCTATTAGTAAATTAGTATTTTTTTAATGAAATAATTTTTAAGATAACTACTGAAAAAATTATATAAAAAAAATTAATGAGTTGCTCGCGAACTTATCGAGTCGAGTTGGACTTTGCTCGAATCAACTCGTTAAGGTCTCGAGTCGAGTCATCCCAAGTCGAGTTTTTATCGAGCTTTGATCGAGTCGAGTTCGAACTGCTTAACTCATTAAGCACCCCTACTAGAGACAGAGTAAAGATTGAATAATGAAGGGATAAATTGATTAGTTTTGAAATGATAAGGTATTAAAAAGTAATTAAATTATAAAAATTGAAGTAGTTTGAATTTGATTTCATTAATTTAAAATAAAAATTTTATGAGAGAGAAAAATATTTAATTACAAAAATTTTAAAATTATCATGACCTAAAATCATTCAAATGATATATCCTAATCGCCAACGAGTGTTGGCACAAGTAGTTGCGATTTAAGAATTTGAGCTTGTAAAATCAAGTTCAAATCCCACCACTATTACTCTTGATGGACAATCTGTAAAATCCTATGTAAATCTCAATTAGGTCTTAAGTATGCTCGAAATTCGTTAACTCGTTTATATTGACCGATGTTTCTTATGATTACTGCAAATATAGTTTGAGAGTATTTTAAACGTTAGTCGAAATATAAATAAAGATATATTACATTTTTGAAGAAATATCATGTTTAAACTCGCACAAAATAAGACAACATGAATATTTTTAATCATTTAAATAAAATAATTTTATAAAAGGTAACAGTCCAATTTAAACAAAATATATAAATAAATTCTATGAAAAATTGTGTTTTTTATAACCTAAACTCAATTAAAAATTTAAAGTTTTTATTTAAATTTGACTCGATTCGATGTTTTAATGATTTTTTACTTGATTCCAATTTAAGGATTAAAATTCGTTATACCTAAAATAAATAAATAGAATTTCTCCTATTTTTATTTAAAAATAATGTTAGTGATAAAATTTATATAAACAATAATAGTTGGATGACAAATAGTGCAATTTATCCAAAAAAATTTATATGCATTAAAAGTATATTTTTAATATATATTAAATTGTTCAAATAAACGTGTAGCTATATTAAATCCATCTTAATATAAATTTCAAGTAAATAATATTTTTTTGTAAAACATTCTAATTTGTTAAATATTTCATATTTATTAAATTAAAATATTTTTTAAAAAAAAATAATAATAAATTCTTATGCATAAAACATGATGTTGTTATTCGGAGAAATAAAATTGATTTGATATATTTGAAAGTTAATGTCCGCATATATCAACATAAAAATAAAAGTGGTGAAATTGAAAATAAATTATTCGAGTTAATTGTATTATATGTCCCCAAACTATGACCCTCATTTCAAACTAATCCTTAAACTTTTATACGTTCTAATTTCATCCCCAAACTATGACTCTCATTCTAAATTAGTCTTTAAACTTTTGATCATTCTAATTTCATCCTCAAACTATGACTCTCATTCTTAATTGGTCACCGAACTTTTGAATCTTCCAATTCTATCCCTAATTCATCCAAATATGTAATTAATTTCAACAATAGTTTAACCTAATTTTTTCAAACATATAATAATATAACTTGGCCTAACGATTTTATTAACAAGGTATGTGATTAGTATATACATATAATTTGAGATGAAATTGAAATGTTCAAAAAGTTTGAGGACCAGTTTAGAATGAATATCATAGTTTAGGGATGAAACTGGAATGTTCAAAAGTTTGAGGAATAATTTATAAAGCCTTTAATTTGTACATTTAATGGAAATAATAAGGAAAAAAAGACTTCATTACAAGTTATGACTAAACAGTTTATATTCTTCTATCTCTAAGTTGAAGATAATTGTGTTTCAGCACAATCGAATTCACATCCTCTTAGATATTACATGATAACGATGTCAATCGAATAAAGTCGATCACCGGAACGATTGTGGTTAAACATAGTTGACCGTAGAATCTCTTAGATATTGTAATAACAACGGTGTCAACCGAGCAAAGCAGGAATCATCGAAGTAAACTGATGTGCATGACGGAAGTCGAATTAGCGAATAGCGAGTCACCGGAGATGGCTCCATTAATACCGAGCTGAAAAATGGATATTTGCCTCAAAACATCCCCTTGAAGACTGGATTCACTCGGCAAATGCTTGCTCCATGTTCCTCATATTCTGCTTTTGTATGACAAGCCTTCACGTTGGCAAGTTAAGGTTAGGAATGATGCACATGGAAACAGTAATGGCAAGCACATCATACAATTGACATATCGATAAAAGCAAGAAACAATGAGTAGAAGGTTCGTTTAGAATCGGAGATTCGTACAGCGAAGAATTCAGGTGTTGATGCTAGTACAGAACCTCCGAACCAAACGGCAAATCTTTGGATTGGATGACTGACTACATTAACTTCCACAGGTTTTGCCTGCAAGATGATGCCCCAAAAGGAGAATAGCACTGAGCTTTGGTAAAATGATAATGGGATGAAAATACAAGCACAAAATCCTTACTTTTATATCCCCACCATGAAGAGCAGTTGCCGCCTGAACCCGGGCATCGACGATCTTTTTCACGTCCCGTTGCAACCTTCGGTGGAAGTCTTTGAACATGGTTGATCCACCAGATAATACAATATTCTGAAAGAGTTGAAATAGCAGGCATAAAGTGGAAGAGATGCCAAAAGAGTTATATAAAGCAAAGAACCAAGATTTTGCAATTTGAGCCAATGCATACTTCACCTTATATAAAGCTCTTCTTGTGTCAATTGGTGCTGACTGAATGCACTTGTCTACTAGAGCTGGTAATGGAGTTATATAATCACTGGTATAGATCTCGGGACTAAACAAAACCTGTCGAACCAGACATAGAAAAAGCATCAGCAACAAGCAATCTTCAAGTTTTCATTTCTTCAAAAACAAAGTTGGAAAATGGCAAAGAACACCATGAAGAAATCTAAACTAGGGGAAATCAAGGAAAACTTGCACACCAAGGCAGCCAGCAACATAGTTGCAAATTTGCAATTATGTTTGGATGTGAAGAAATGGCAAAAGTTTCAGCAATCTTAGACTTTAGAAATCACTTTGCAAGTAAAAGTAGGACAAACCTCGGGGCCTAAAAATCGTTCATAACCGACATCGCAGGTGTATGGAGCCCCTGTCTTCAGTCTGATACCCCTCCACTGTTTGATATACTTTGCAGGTTCCTTATCATGCTTGGTGAACTCCTAAGATGGTTACAAAAAATAGTCATTATTGGATCGCCATTCGAGAGTCCAAACTTATGAACTTCATTACAGTATCTCAAGCAGGGTAAGAATGCTGGGGTTAATAGTTGTTCCAAAATCACAATCCATTTAAAGCACAATAACCTTGACAATATCAGAACTAGTATAGCAGTACATCTCCTTCACTTTCCGAGCTGCTTCAAATGAGTCCTCAGGTGGCATTTTCTCTCCCCTTTCCTGCAAAGGCCAAGAATTCAATGAGAAACAAAATTCTACTCTTCTGCTATGTGTTTTTCTCCGATAAGATTTTCTACGTAAAATCTAGGTGTTCTTTATTTTGCGATAATTTTACATTCGTTATTATCATGCTTCCAACTAGTATAAGAAAAATTTCTCATCAACACAATGATATCAAAGCACTAGAGAGACTTGTGAAAAAAGAGATAACCCGCATGAGCTCCTGTATGAAGAGAGTAACATCTTTTCCAGCTATTGGGATCGACTTAATGCAGCTCCCAATAACATAACCTTCTGCAACAGGTACAACACGCGTAGCCCCCTCTCCGACATCCACTACCACCCCTGTCAAATCACACTATACAAAACAATAGTTCAATCCAACATTCGAACATGCAATTCGATGTTAAATAATGCTAACAAACCAAGGACACAAAATAGAGCATGTAATACTGTTGAGGAAAGATGCAGCGGGTGGTGGTTAGACGGTCGTTGGCTAGTGTCAAGATATTTTGTTAGACAGTTGTTGGCTAGTGTCAAGATATTTTGTCTCCATAACGAGGTAGGAAAGAGATGAGTGAGGAAGAAATGGTTACATATCCTTTTCTCAGTCTTGATTGAGAGGCTTTATAGTGGCTCTTAGTATTGGTGTTAGAAGTAGAGCCATAATAACTACTCATAAGTTGACAGAAAGGGACGGAGCTAGGATTCTAGTTTAAGGGGGTAAATTATATAGGACCAAATAGGTAGTTATCCTTGTTTACTTTTAAGAAAAAAAAAATCAGGGGACAGTGACCCCCGAGTTAATAAATAGCTCTGTCCGTGTTGACAGATTAAGTGGATATAATCAGCTGACGGTAGATTTGACTATGGGAAGTTATTTATGTCAGAGGCTATGTAAAAAGATCGTGACTTTCAAAGAACGTTGTGTGTTGGAGGTTCTTTCTCTAGAGATACTTTTTCGATACCCTAATCAGAGACTTGAATTGCGATTGCGAACATAACATGAACTATTGTAATGATTACGGGTATCGCAATCATGTAATAACGATTTCGGATGATATTGATACTCTTACATAACGGTGTCTATTTAAATCCTTGATCCTAACTATGAAGACATACAATACCATTACCGTGACAACAAAATGGGTCGACAGAGAGTGAGTCACAGACCTTAGATGTACTGCACCCAGCTGCCAAAGCAAGAACAGAGTTCACACCAATATAAAGCCCAGGAACATTGAACGTCTCGAACATAATTTCACCCATGTACTCTCGATTCTCGGGAGCAGTAAGTGGACTCTCGGTCAGCAAAAAGTAATGGTCCTCAGGATCACAACGTAGATAAGCGAATATACAATGCTGCCAATACCGTTCCATAGCATCCCAATCCTCCACTTGGCCGTGGTTAATGGGGTGGCTTAGGGTATAAGTATTGCTCGCTCTCGATCTCAACAGTGCATCGTCCCCGATGAAGAAATCGAGGTCCGCCATTACACCCGCCGAGTACTGGTTAGCCATATTCGAGGAAGCTCTCGTCTGGTTTAGATACGAATCGTTAAGCGCTACGACTGTTGGTTGAATAAAACACGGCTCCACGTTACCCGCGAATCCCATCTTAGAATAACTGCAACAAACAAAAAGAGCTGATGACGAAACACATTGAGGAATTTCGACAAACAAAACGTGAGCACATTTTTTACAGATGAATTCCTCTCGAGAAGATGAACCGTACCCTGTACCGTTGTCGATGACGACGGTGGGCCGAGAAGTGGGGTCCATACGCAGCGACGTTTCAAGGGTGTTGTTAGCTTCTTGGAAGAATTATAGCCGTCGTAGCTCATATCCAAACCCAGAAAGTCTAATAAATAATACACAGTTTCAAAACTCCATTGTCATCATAATCATTTCTTCGAGATTATCAGTTGATTGATATTTTTCATAGCAAACAGACTGTGTATATATAGAAGAGAAAGACGAGGCAAGAATGTCGGGGATGTGTGGCAGTGATAAGACATTGAGTTTAGCATCGTACGACTTGGTCTGCATGCATGCATGATAGATCCATCATATTTCCGTTTATAGTATGTACTTAAACAATTATGTTTTGTCGAGTTCTCTCTTAATTTTTTTTTGGGTAAATTGTTTATTAGGTTATTTAATTTCTATTTTGATCATTCAATTATTATTTTTTAAAATTAATCTACATTATGTTTTGATTGTAATACAGTCACTCACTGCTTAAAATTAATTGTGATATTAAAATGATATTTTCTTAATCATTTTTTAATTTTAACGCAACTTTATATTAATATGTTAATATTATAATTTTTATAACATTTTCATCAATAAAAAACATTATATTTTTTATAACATTTTCGGTTACGTACGTTCTCAAAATAATCATGCTTGCTTCTTCCAAAAATGATTTCAGCACCGATTGGCGGATGATTGCTTCTTGTTAATAAAAAAAATTAAAGAAAAAACCTACCGCAACATGTGAAAAATACTCTCGACATTTCTCCTACACTACTAGCATTTACGCCATTATAATTGGGGATGGGCATGGATCGGAACCGGATAGGTTTTGATTAGACCCGATCTAATTAGGTCAAATTTTTTTAATTTCGGGTTTGTGTTGGGCCAGGTCGAGTTTTTTAAATATGATGTTTGAGTCGGGTCGGGTCGGGTTTTTTAAATATGATGTTTGAGTCAGGTCGTTTCGGGTTTAGGTAAAAAAATACTCGACCCAACCCGACCAGGAAAAATATAATTTTACCTTATATATTTAAGAATAATTACAATAATACCCCTATATTTTTTTTCCAATTAAGTCATTGTTTTTATTAAATAAAAATAATATTTTATTATTATTTTGGGTCGGTTTGGGTCGGGTTTTAAGTTATATATCATGTCGGGGTCGAGTCGGGTAAAATCTTATTTCATGAGGGTCAGGTCGAATCTCGAGTGGAAGAGTCTTTGTTCTCAGATCGAAAAAATCCGACCCAACCCGACTCATGCCCATCCTAATTATAACACAGTGGTTGTAAAGAAGAGATAATATTATAACATGAAATTTAAAAGAATAGCAATGAAAATATTTAACTTTTAACCAGCTTGTTATGTTGCATGGAAATGGTATTTTGGATGTGCTGATGTTATCATTGCTTCCAAGCCTTCTTCCCCCGGAGCTGTTTGCCGGAATGCGACCTCCAGGGCCGGCCCTGAGCCCAGGCGTGGGGGGCGACCGCCTAGGGCCCATTCTTGGAGGGGGCCCATTCTTGAAAGTCGATACAAGATACAAACTCAGATTTTTTTTTATCTTTTACCCTAGAAGATATGTAAAAAGAAATGGATATAAATATTCTAAAGCATTTGTAAAACATGGTCCTCATTTCTTTAATAAGCACTAAAAGTTGATGGCAATTGCATTCACGTGATTGTACAATTTTTCTTACAATTCAATTATAAAATAGGGCCCCCATTTATTTAATAAGCACTATGGCAGACATGAACGGTACAATTTCTTACAATTCAATTATAAAATAGGCCCCATTTATTTAATAAGTACTATGGCAGACATGAATGTTATTGTACCATTTTTCTTACCATTTAATTATAAAATGTGGCCCCATTTCTTTAATAAGCACTAAAAGTCGTTTTACTCTCTCCATTTCTCTCTGCAACTCACATCCGCCTTCTCCAAAACCTTCAACATCTCACCGGCCACCACTCTATTTACCTTCAGCATCAAAGCCTAAAACTTTCCTAAACACTCCGATCTATTTACCTTAATCCAAATCAAAATTGAAAATCACATAAATAAGGCCAAAACGCCCTTAAATCGAGACCTGAATTTTGGTTTCTGTTTGCTCCGATGAACCCGACTTCGATGGCCGATGGGAAGCTCCGATGAACCCGACTTCGATGGGAAGCTCCGATGACTCACAAGTAACGCTTTCCCCTTTCTCTTTGACTCTATTTTGCTTTATAAAATTTTGTTTTTATTGTTGTATTCGAAATAAAAAACGAATGGATAAAGACTCTTGTATTGTCTTGATTCTCTGGTTTGTGTGTTGCTTCAAAAAATTAAAGAAATTGTTTGGTATTCTCTGATTTCTCTTGAATGAAGGGGAAAAAAAATAAATTATGATTTGTCTAGTAAAGTTTTGGCATATATTTCTGGTTTTAAATTATGATTTGTCTGTGTAGTAAACTTTTGTTATAACTTAAATGTTTTAAAAGGATGAATGGATGATTGATACAATTTGCTAAGGCTCTGTTTACTTGATGTTTTTTGATGTTTTTATTTTGGTGTTCATGTTATAACTATTAATATTTATGTCAACAGTGTCAATTATCAAATTGGGAATTTGGCTGCAATTGTTACAATTCTAATTGAAGAATCCAGGTGCAATTGTTCTTTTCTTATACTTATTTATTAGAATTGGTTTGTGTTTGACTCTTTGATGAGATGTTGCCTAAAAAATATTTGTCTGGAAGTGAAAAAAGAAAAAAAAAGAAAGCGAGATGAGGAGTTAAAAAAGTCACAAAAAGGTGCTCTTGATAAATTTGTGTTTAAAAAATGTTGATTCTCATGAAACTTTGAATCAATCAACTGAAAATTTGCATATTGAAAATTCTGGAAATTCTGAAAATGTGAATGATCCAATTGACTTTAATGATGTGCCAATTGATGAAAATGTTGAAAATTTAGGCATTGGTGAAGAAACACTTCCTCATTTGAATATATATGATCCTATAAATTGGGAGAATCTTGACAATAATGCGAGGGATATATTAGTTGAAAAAGGGCCCATAAGAGAAATGGATCTTGAATTTCCTGTTGATAAATATTATAGACATTTCTCATATGCATGTTATTCTATAAAGTTGAGCAATGGTGAGACTAGTGATAGAAAATGGTTAGTTTATTCTAAAAATGTTGACAAAATATATTGTTTTTGTTGCAAGTTGTTCAAATCGATTAGTAATGAAAGTTTGTTAGCAAATGATGGCTTAAGTGATTGGAAACATATTAGCCAAAGACTTAAACAACATGAAAATAGTGTTGAACATATGACTAATATGAATACTTGGAATGAATTGAGAGTTAGATTGAATAAAAATCAAACAATCGATAAAAATTTGCAAGAAAAGATTATGAAAGAGAAAGAGCGTTAGAGACAAGTGTTACAAAGAATATTCTCAGTTGTGAAATGTCTTGCTAAACATAATCTTGCATTTCGAGGATCTAATGAAAAAATATATCAAGATAACAATGGTAATTTTCTAGGATTGATTGAAATAATTGCAGAGTTTGATGTGATTATGCAAGATCATGTTAGACGCATTCAGGATCATGAAATTCATTATCATTATCTTGGACATAAAATTCAAAATGAGTTCATTTCCCTTTTGTCTCAAAGTGTGAAAAATTCTATCATTAAGATCATTAAAGAGGCTAAATACTTTTCCATAATTCTTGATTGTACGCCTGATGTGAGCCATCAAGAACAAATGACCCTCATAGTTCGATGTGTTAATATATTAAATAACAAAGTTAAAATTGAGGAGTTCTTTTTGGAGTTTCTAAAAGTGGATGATACATCTGGATTAGGACTCTTTAATGAACTACAAAATGTTTTGAAGTATCTTGATCTTAATGTTGATGAACTACAAAATATTCTACAAGGTTATGATAACGGTTCTAATATGAAAGGAAAGCACCAAGGTGTTCAAAAAAGATTTCTTGAAATTAATCCAAAAGCATTATACATGCCTTGTGCTTGTCATAGTTTTAAATCTCACTCTTGGTGATATGGCACATTCTTGTGTTAAAGCTATTTCTTTTTTTGGAGTTGTACAACGCATATATGCATTGTTTTCGGGTTCTACAAAGAGATGGAAAATTTTACTTGATAATGTTCCTGGATTAACTGTGAAATATTTATCAAATACTCGATGGGAGAGTCGAATTAAAAGTGTCAAAGCTATTAGATTTCAATGTCCCCAAATAAGATTGACTTTGTGTGAATTATATGAATCTTGTGAAAATGATGCAAAGTCAAAAAGTGAAGCTGAAAGTTTGGTGAATGCACTCTCAAGTTTTGAGTTTTTGCTTGGTGTTGTGATTTGGTATGACATTTTATTTTCTGTTAATATGGTAAGCAAGAAATTACAATCTAAGTCTATGTGCATTGATACTACCATAAGGCAACTAGAAGGTGTGATGTCCTACTTTGAAAAAATATAGAGATGAAGGCTTTACAACTAGTATGAATGTAGCTAAAAGTCTTGCACTTGAAATGGATGTGGAGCCTATCTTTCCTGCAAAACGTCGTGTGATTAGGAAGAATTTTTTTGGAGAGAATAATGAGAATAACGAAGTTGAATCGCCTGAAGAGTCATTTAGAGTCAATTATTTTTTGGTTGTGGTAGATATGGCAATTACTTCTTCGAAGAATAGATTTGAGCAATTGAAGACATTTGAAAGTATTTTTAGATTTTTATATGATTCAAATAAGTTAAAGTCATTAGATGATAATGAGTTGAAAGAATGTTGTGCTCATTTTCATTCTACCTTTTCTCATGGCAATTCATCAGATGTTGATTTAGA